GAAATGTCTGCAAATTCTCTCCAACAAGTAAAAAAAGGCAATAATATAAGACAGCAAAAAAAAAAAAAAAAGAAAGAAAAGAAAAGAAAAGAAAGCAACATGTGCAACCTGATATGAAACTCAAAGTACACATCACTTTAGGGACTGTGGAACACATTGCTAATCATGAAGAAACACCAGACTTTACAGAGAACACGCCACAAAAACAATTTGGGGCTGGGGATGAAGCTCAGTAGCAGTATGTCTCCTTAGTGTGTGAGGTCCTAGGCTCAGTCCCCAGTACTGCACATAATACTTTTATAACTATCTGCCCATTGTCCATCTTGCCAAAAACAGGAGCTCTGAAGAAAAAATAAGTTAGCCCAAACCAAAGAAGTTTACCTTAAAGGTAATTTGTAAACCCATCCCAATCTTTCTGTAGCACATTAGGGGCATTGTTGTGTAGTAGGAAGTCTGCATGCCGCCATTAAACATGTGACTTACTAGAGGCGCATACAGATGAGGTAATAAAAGGGCGGTTTACCACACCGCTAACCACACCCACTTTAGGCAGGACTAAAGACGTATACGCCTTTAATCCCAGCATTCGGGAGGTGGATCTCTGTGAGTTCGAGGCCAGCCTGGTCTACAAGAGCTAGTTCCAGGACAGCCTCCAAAGCCACAGAGAAACCCTGTCTCGAAACACCAAAAAAAAAAAGTAAGCTACATGAATGCAGCACCTTTTTACTCAGAGGCTAAGAAGAATATCTAGCATAACAGATACACAAGCAATGCAATAAATGAAGATAGCATATAGAATGAACTCCACTCATAAAAACATGAATTTTATCTTGTTTCAATGCCCATGGATTAAGAAAACTTACTGATGATAATTTATATGATCAGAAAATAATTAGAATATATCAAGATCGGACCAAAATAATCAAAAGGAGCCAGAATTATGGGCTACACTTATAGCAGTACATAAAAAGGAAATTACAAATCCATTTATATTAACAAGAAAAAAAATAGAAAATCATCCAAGTTAAAACTAATCTTTCAGGGAAATGTGTTCCAGCTCCTTACAGAGGGCACACTGACATGTCAGACTAAACACACATGCACTGCGTGCAAATCTCCCGCCTGACCAGGCGTCTTTTTAGCTTGCCTCACTTCACTACGACTGCACCCACAGTGCTGCCCTCCACTCTAGACTTTGCATAGATGTCTTTTTATAGTAGGCTATTTCCCCCCACTTAGCTCTTCATTCTTTCATGTTACCCTTAGAAACAATTTACTGATTTCCAATATTTTAAAAAAACTGATTTTTTTTAACAGAAACAATAAATTACACCCTAATGCTAACAGAAATGGCATTTTTATGGCACTCTGCTCTAAGGGACTGTGTGTTAGCTTTTCTTACTATGACAAATACATAAAAGAAAGTAAATTAAGGAAAAAACAACATCTATTCTGGCTCAATTTCAGATGTTAAGTTGGGGGCACACACCTAGTGACACACACTTCATCCAGCAAAACCCCATTTCTTAGTTTCTAGCATGTCCCCAAATACCAGCAGCAACTAGGAGTCGTGTGTTCATGTGAGGAGCACTTCATATTCCAACCACAGCACTACACCCTAGCCTCAAACAGGCTCATGTCCATCCTGGAATGCAAAATGCATTCAATTCACTTCCAAGAATTCCCCTTAGTCTTTGTTTGTTTGTTTGTTTGTTTGTTTTTGAGAAGGGTTTCACTATTTAGCCCTGGTTGGCCTAGAACTCAATAGGTAAATTAGGCTAGCCTCAAACCCAGAGACCTGCCAGTCTCTGCCTCCTGCAGTAAAGGAATCTACAACCACCTATAGTTGCAACAGTTCTAGCAGTGTGCAAATGTCTAAGAGTAAAATCTCTTCTGAGACTCAAACCAAAGTCTCAGCTGTGAGTCCTTGCAAAATTCCAAAAGTCACATATTTGCATTATACAATGTGTTGTGTGACTTTTCCTTCCTTGTCCCAGTCCAAAGTAAGCATTTATGGAGGACTCAGGTTACTTACAAGAGTGTAAGTGCCTCAAGTAGCTGCCAAAGCCCACTTCAGCAAGGGTGACAACTCATAAAAGCAATGTCGCCAGGGCTCCCTGTAGGACTTACAGTCGGCTCTGTTGGGCTCTTTTGACCTCAGCCTCGATGCTGTTCATTGCATTTATAATAAAGGGGAGGAGCTTTGTGAATTTTGCCACTATCTGAGTTTCTTGGGCCTTGTGCCTCTAGTTTCCTGAGCCCCCCTAGAATGTTTCAATTCAGAGGAATTAGCTACTCAATACAACGGTAAACAGTAAAATACCCACTCCAAAAGAAAGAGAATAGCAAAGAACTGAGCCAATGCAAGTCCAAAACGTTAAATTCTATAGCTCCATGTACTGCATCCCAAAGTATCCAGCATCATGATATGGACCCCAAAAAGCTTAAGAAGCCCTGCCCCTACAGCCTTTCTCATTGCAAGTCCTATCTAGTGGGCAGCCTGCAGCTTTCCAGAACAAATGTTCCACATTCCTAACATCTCCAAATTCCTGAGCTATCAACTGCAGTTTGGGCTTTGCACACCGCCCTCTAAGGGACAGGTGCCAGCAACTCTGACCTTGCCATATACTGCCTGATCTCCTATGGTATCCTCGGAAATCTTGGTGGAAGTCTCTATAAAGCTTCCACTTTGCCCGTCTAAAAGACCAGTCATGTGAATAAAACCAAGGTCAGCTACCAGCTTAACCAATAACTGGGCCTTCCACTTCTACAGCAGCTTAAGTGCCTTAACAGTTACACAAAGGAAAATTCACATGTTGGGAAAGCTAATTACTGAGATGATCTAAGGCATTTTCCTTATTATCCAAGTAATTGGCTTTTTAAGTGCTAATGATGGGACCCAGGATCATGGGCATACTAAGAAAATGTTCTGCTTGATGCTAGAGAGATAGGTGATCATTTAAGAGCACCTGCTACCCTTGCAGAGGGCCTGGATTAAGTTCCCAGGACTCAAAACAGTTTACAACCAACTATAACTGCAGTTCTAATGGATCTGACTTCCCCTTCTGGCCTCCTTGGGTATCAGGAATATATGTGGTACATATACATAAACACAGGCAAAACATTCATATACATAAAATAAAAACAAATGTTAAAGAAGAAAGGGGGGGAGGTGCTTTACACTGAGCTGCATCCCCAGACCACAGTTTCTTTATCTCTTTATTAGCTACACTTTGCTTGGTCTCAACTTCTTCATATATATTTACTTGATTAACACTCTCACTGTGCTTTCTGCTCAAGTTCTCACTGTAAACTTGGATGTAAGAAACCAGCAATAAACATACCCAAACCTAAACACCAGACTGACTTCAAATCTCTCCCAATGCATTTACTTGTCTATTATCATTAAATTCAGCTGACACAGTCTCAGAATATGGTCAAGATGAGACAAGGATTTGCTGCAATGTAACATGCATGACTGACCTCTGGTGCAGTTACAGAGTAACCTTGGTTCTGCACGACTCTAATGAACGCTCCTTACTTACAACTACCTGTTTATCTGTATGCTGGGCTTCTGAGTTCTCACCAGAACCACAGTAAGGTCTACTTGCAGCACGTGAAGCTGTCTCTACTGACACTGCCAATCCCTCACATCACAGACGCACTTCCAAGGGCTTAGGAAGCACATGGCCACAGCACCAACCCACCCTGGTCACCACCTTCTGTGAGACTTCTACCATTGTAAAAAACAGCTGAGAAACAGCAACTTCAGGGATGAAGGATTTAATCCTGACCACAATTTCAGAGCTTTCAATCCATAGCTGGCTTGCTCTGCATCTCTGCTATGGAGCTTAGGTATAAGGAGAAGGAGGAAGCAGCAAGCTGTAATAGTAATTAAATGGCATCATCAAGCTTACTAGGGCAATAGTTACACAGGAGTAAGAAGCTCTGATCTGAAACAACAGAGATGAGACTTACCTACTGATGTCTGCTTTTCTAAACCTGCTTGCCCTTTCCCTCTTTTTCTGGAAATGAGCATACCCAGCAAGTTCTGTTTGCTAAAAATAAAACTGACTTGATTTGAAACCTGCAAATTTCACCATCTGTAAAACTTGAGTTTAGCTCTGAGAAAATGCTCCTCTGGGGCAGGGATGAAAAAACCAGCTGAGAATGGTCACCAAGATAAGATTGTGGTAACAACCATCCCTATATAAGCTGGGCCCCTAGTTCTAGCTGCACAATAATGAAAGTGCTTCCCTTTATCTCCAAGTGTTGGTAATTTCTTGTTGGGTAAGGTAGAACAGCATTGCAATGGGAGCATGTATGAAAGACTTCCGGTAGCTACAAAGACCAAAGTGACCTAACTTTCTCCACTCCTTCCAAAGTAGCACCATCAGCTGAGGACCAAGCTTTCAGCACACAAGCCAACTGTGAGGAACATTTCTTGGTTAAATCACATGTCCCAGGAACCTCAAAAGAAAAAGATAGCAACCCCCCCTAAAAAGTTGTCCTTTGACCTTCATCACAGCCCTACAAACTTCACTACAAATATACATACATACACAAACAACTAAATAAATAAGTAAACAAAAACTAATTCAAATACATAAATAGACACCACCAGAGAAAATACCTTCTAACAAAATACACTTTGTAAGGTTGAGTACTTTTCAAAAGGCTACTTCTGGAAAAATAAAAAATGCTTTACTTGCCAGTTAAAGAAAACTATACCTCATAATCCACAAACATTAAGAATTTAACAATTTTTAAGATTATCAATATTCAGACTTACTTTAAAATATATATAGTCAGTTATAAAATGCCAACAAATGAGGAACACCAGTTATCAACTACATCAATCACAAAGACATAATGCTTTCTATCTGCTTTCAAAAATCAAACCCTAATGAAGCCTCCAGCTACACATCTGATGTTACAGTTCCACAGCACACATTGCAGACAGTCCAATATCAGAGTACCTATTATTTTTATCTTTTTACCTGTATTCAGGCTGTCGGCTTGTGGAATGATCATCTCTTGTCCATCTGTAGCCAGAATCATCCTGTAAAATAAAAAATTTAATTTGACTTTTGTTACCCTATTTTGAGTAGCCTCTGGGGTAAACTTACAATGTGAGTAAAAACACTTCTCTAGGTATTCCTGAACTCCCACAACACAGTAAATAAAAGATATAAGTCATCCATTTCAGCAACTAAAGAAGACTATGAACTTGTGGTACCACTTACCTGTATTTTAAAGACTGCATTATTCCCTTGGTGAACTCACACAGGCTTAGCGCCACAGATACATGTGTCAACATGACAAGAGATATTTGCTGTCTGAGGACAAGAGCCTAATCGAGCCACGTGTACATACACTGCTAACCTTTTCATTTTCCAAGCTCTCTCACCAATATTCAGGCTCAAGTTCAAGGAAGAACTTGGGGTACTCTCTCCATTTTTCTTATTTTATCGCTTGATAAAGACATAATTAGAAGCCATCTAGTAAGAATTATCATTGATACGCAATGTTATAGTATCTGATACAAAATTTAAAACTAATCAAATGAAGCACATTTGATCCTCTAAAACGCATGTGCAAAGAGACGCCAATGCTACTACTCTTGCAGATGACCCAGGTTTGATTCTTCGCACCCATAGGTGATGCACAACCATCTGTTAACTCCAGTTCCAGGGGATCCAAAGCTCTCTTCTGGCCTCTATGGGAACTGACACACATAGTGCAGACACGCATGCAAGCAAAACAAATATAAAATAAAATAAAGATTTAGGCTTGGCATAGTAGCACATGCTTTCAATCTCAGCACTCCAGAGGCAGAAGCACGCAGATTTCTAAGTTTAACACCAGCCTGATCAAAACAGCAAGCTCCAGGACAGGTTGGGTTACAGAGAGACTTTGTCTCAAAAAATCCCAAAGAAATAAAAAATAAACACAACAAGCAAATTACTTACAGTCAGAGAAACTGGTTTAGCTAAAATATTACTTTTCATCTTCCTCATTAACATCACAAACCAACACTTGTATAAATAAACTGTGTCTGTATTTTCCTTCTCGATGTTATATAAAAATAAGAGAAAAATACTGGACCCAGTAAGTAGTTTAAGTAAATTCTAGATAAAAATTAGTGCTGAAAAGTTGTAAGGAGCACAGGCATAGTAGTCATTTATTTAAAGAGAAAAAACAGTTAAATCTAAGAACAAAAAAGTTTTATATTAATATGGTTTTGTTTTGTGGTACTGTGGATTGAACAGAAGATTTCTTAGTATGCAAAGCAGGAACTCTCACCCCTGAACTGACCCAGTGCAGACAATCTGGAAGAATGAAATAAAGTAACTGTGCTGTTGCTGAAACACTACTTCAAGCTTTTAGAAAAAAATTCATGTTCATTGGGTATTAAACACAAGCCCAATGAAAAGAAAACTCACCAGATGGCCACAAGAGTTTTCATGAAAGGGTACAAGATGCTTTTGCTATGACCAAATCCTTTTTCCCTGAAACTACCTGGAAAATGGGTCTGACAGTGAAACAGTATCTCTAGTACAGAAATAATGCTTACTTCCCAACATTTAGACCCTTCCTAGAGAATAGCATGGCACTATAAATAAGCATAATAGAATCCAGCAATACCAGGAAGAAAGCTGTAGCACTGCAAACTTAAGCAATAATCACCAAACCACTAAAAAACCCCATTACCACTTAAGACTTATCAGGGCTGACACTATGAGGGACCATGAGAACTGGACTGCTGTACATGCTAACCCTCAGGAAATCACTTACCTCCATTTCTTCAATTGCCAACATGCAGTCAAACAGCACAGTGTTTAGATGTATTATAATGGTTACCATGTTATATATTATGGGGAAGGAAAAAAGGGAAAGGGAAGGCAGACAGTCTAGAAGAGAACTATTGTAAATCTGTAAAGTCTAGGACATAACAATCGCTTCCAACACTTTGATAAATTATCAAAACCTTAAATACCTACTTCTAGATTATCAAGAACACACTGATAATCTTAGTAGCTAACATTTTAAGCGTTTACTATCTGAAACAATGACTTGTCTGCATTCTAATCCCAAATAGTAAAGACCTTAAAAGCAAACAGACCTTAAGAATTCTAACAAAAATGAGATAATCAACTTAAACCACCTTACCCACAGCATCCTCTTGTTAAAAATGAAGCAATTATAAACAAGGACATGAAGTGACAAGTGTTGGCCATCTGCATGTCACTATCAGTAAATCCCTACAAGTTTAAAGTAAAAAGGCAAAGGATGTATGGTCAGGGACACAGCTCAGCAGAAAGTGCTTACCTAGCATGAGTGAGGCCATAGCCTTGCTGCCGAGCACCTCACAAAAAGCAAGCACCCTGGAATTAATATCTCTTAGAGGTCCCTAGGGGGTGCCTACTCACCATCCAGCATCACAAGATTCTTGACTAGTAGTACCCTCTAGCTGCATTGGCAGTCAACAGCACCTGGCTGAAATGGAAGCCAATCCCTGAAAGCCTAGCTACAGCATCCAAGAGGCTGAGACAGGAGGCCAGCAAAAGTTCTTGGAAAGCCTGACCTGTATAGTGAGACCCTATTGCAGGGGAGGGAGGCTGCAAATAAAACCAAGCCAAGCAACACAAGAACACAACACAAGCAGCAGGTGTCCATTCTACTTCCAAGGCCTGCACATAAACTTTGGTTACATGAATTTTAAACTTGAGAGAAAGAACAATTAGTACACGGGGGAAATTTACATACTCCTCTGTGAGGTGGGCCACTTCTTCGATCATGAGAAAAACTGCGGCCCTCGTCATAGTCTCGGTAATCAACATGACTGTAATATCTATTGTAGCCTCCTTCATCAGGTCTGGCTAGCAGAGGCGGTCTCTTGTCTAGCAGAGGCGGTCTCTTGTCTAGCAGAGGTGGTCTCTTTGGCACAACATTAACTACTCTATGGTAGCCATCCTAAAACAGACAAAAAGAAATATAGAGACATCACTAATTTCTCTATTTGGTTTTGGAAATGTTTCTTGTAAGCATCGGAGTTCTTATCCATAATTCAACAGAGTAAACATACAAATGAACAAAACACACTAATGAAAAATGCGAATATAAATAATAACATCTTCATATAGATTAATGGAAATAAAAAAATTATTCAGTGAAAAAATGCATTCAAAATAACACACAATACAAAATGACAATCATAGGTTAAGAAAAGGGGGCTGGAGATATGACCCAGGGATGAAGAGCACTTGCTGTTTTTCCAGGAGATATATAGATGCAGTTCCCAGCATCCAGATGGTGGCTCACAACTGTAAAACAGTTCCAGGGAATATGGCACCCTCTTCTGGCCCCTGTGGGTACTTCACTCACATGTGCACATACATACATGCAAGCAAAGCACTTGTACACATAAAATAAAAATAAACCTAAATAATAGTGTAAGCAAAATAAAAGGTAATTTTAACAACAACCAACAAGCTACACACAGTAAGAAGGCTACAGCAGTGTTTCTCCTAATGACAAGAGGACAGCACCTATGAATGTTTCAGCAGTGTTATTCCTAATGACAAGAGGACAGCACCTATGAATGTTTCAGCAGTGTTATTCCTAATGACATGAGGACAGCACACTGTGGTCTGTGTTTAAAATATTTTATGTAACTATTTAAACAGGGCTTGCATTCATATACCAACAAGCAGTAAAGACTACATACTGAACTAGAAAGCTAAAAATGAAACACTCTGCTATTTTTCCAGAAGCTCAGAAGAGAGGGCTTTCAGCTTTTTACGTTCGGACTCAAAGCTGACCTAAAATTAGAAGTGGTTTCCAAAGTAACATACTCTTGAAATTTATTTACTTGGTTGGGTTTGGAGAGACAGCCCAGTGGTGAAGGGCTGTGACTGGTCTTTGAAAGGACACATGGTAACTCAGCAGTCTAGAACTCCAGTTCCATGGGATTGAAGCCCTCTCTGGTCGCCTTGAGCACTATATACAAATGCTTCCCAGCCTTACTACACACAGGCAAAATATCCATGCATATAAAAAATAAAATGACTTAAAAAATTTAGTCACTGAGGAGTTCTGTGGGATATGAAGAATTAGACAGGAAAAGTCTATCCTATGTTAATAGCTAATATGAAATAAAACTATTAGGGTAAGAAGTAAGGAACTATACAGTACACATGTCATAATCTGACCTAAGCCATCCAAGAGACAACCACATACAGATTTTTTGGTTTTATGTAGTCCAGGGTGGCCTTTACCTCATAATCTATCTCATTGTTCTTTTGAGGCAGGGTTTCATGATAGAGACAAGAGTGAGTGGCCTAGAACAACAATCCTCCTGTCTCAGCCTCCTGAGTGATAGAATTACAGGTGGCTTAGCACACACAATAAACAAATTGATTACTTTTTAAAATAAAAATTTTTAAGTTAATTAATTTTTAAATCTTAATTTTTAAAAATCTGTGGAAGATACTTTCTACAAAGAAAAACTAGATAGTTGAGTAATCTGATACATAACTATATTATACTTTCCATATAAATTTAAATATCATAGTTAACTGAATACAAATTAAAGCATTTCTTGAGACTAGGGTGGTATTCAGTTGCAGACCAAGGGTTAGCATTCATAAGGCCCTGGATTAATCCCCTGGAACAAAACAAAATACACCAATTTTCTAATGTATCATTAAATATATATATGTATATATATAGATATAGATATGTCAACTTATTTTAGCACAAAACACTGGCTTTTATTTATCTGCTATTTTATTTATTTTCTGTATGGTGAAAGAGGTCTACATGTCTGCTGTAGTTTGCATGCAAAGGTCTGAGCTAATTCTCAACTTCTACCATGTGGTTCCTGGAGATGGATCTCAGTTAGACAGGTTTGGTAGCAAGTATTTTACCACTGAGCCAATTTGCCATCCTACAGAAAACATTTTGCTTAAATTTAAAATATTATAAGGGCCCTCCTTAAACATCTTTATCCTTTAGAGACAATGGAAATGTTTATTTACATTTAGTTAAAACATAAATAGTGGGTTTATTTCAAAAAATTTTCAGGAAGGGAGGAGTGGAGTAGTCAAGAACACTGGCTGTTACTCTAGAGAACCTGGTTCAATTCCTAGTACCTACACAATAGTTCTCAGCAGTCTGTAACTCCTGTTCGGGGGCTCCAACGCCCTCTTCTGGCCTCCTTAAGCATCAGGCATGTACACATGAGGTCACAAACATACATGCAGACAAAACACTAATACACATAAAATAAAAATTTTTAAATGAGATAAAAATAACCTGGAAGACAGGAAAACAGATAAGAATAAAACACAAGCAACTAAAAGTAGACAATTGCTGCTTTCATGACAATACTTTGGGAGTTGCTTATCTTGCCTACTTTTAAATACTTGTCAACATGTTTAAACACAAGTCAAACATGGTTATACATGTCCGTAATCCCAGCCCTAGAGAAGCTGAGAGAGAAGGATGGAAAGTTCAAGGCAGCATTTCCTACCATAGTGAACTTACAATCTGAATGTAACCACAGGAACCTTGTTGGCCTTACTATCCAGCTCCTGGAAAAGCAGGTTGCACACAGTAAGTACCCTATACAACATGAAAGATCAAGCCAGCGTCTGCCCTCTGAAACTTGCCAGTCCTGTAGAAATGCTTGCCTAGATGAGCCCAGGACACTGAAATCTGAAGAATTCAAGGGGTGTAAAGAACACACAAAGAAACAGCTCAGTTGAGATGAAGGAGCAAGAGTTTTATTAAGGATCATAAACGTCTGAGTAATGCACAAGATCACACTGACGAGAATGACAAAGGCAGCCCAGGATCAGAATATGAAATTAAATAAAGACAGAAATACTGAAGGGGACTCAAGAGAAAATTAGAAGGAATCAAAAACTAAGCAAAACATTTCATAACTAGAAAACTCACAGAAAAGCCTGACAATCTGAATCAAGCAGAAGTCAGAACATCAGGCGACCTAGATCAAATAAGCAAGGAACACGAAAAGAAATTAAAAACATAGGAAAGAAACACAAAGACATGTGGGGCACCATTAAAAAACAAACAAACAAACAAACCTTTGAATACAGGCATAGACCAGGCAGAGGAATCCCAGGTCAATGGCATAGAGCAGATTTCCAACAAAACCACGAAGAAAATTTCCCCAGACTAAGGACAGATACACCCATATAGATACAAGCAGCACAGAATAGCAAACACACAAGACCAGAATAGAAAACCCCAATAGAATATCATATTAAAATGCTAAGTATACATAACAAAGAAAGTGTTTTGAAAACTGCAAGAGAAAAAACACAAGTCCCATATAAAGGAAAACCTATGAAAATAACAGCTGATTTCCAAATAGAATCTTTGAAAGCCAGATTAATACAGTCCAAATACTAGAAGACTATGAAAGCCAGCATAAAATAAAATAATACCTAGCAAAGCTATCAGTAAATGATTGAAGGAGAAAGAAAACCTTTTACATAATTCAACTCAAAAATTTGGAAAAACAAGAACAAGCCAAATCCAAACCCAGCCAACAGCAAAAAATAATAAAAATCAGAGCTGATTCTTTGACCCAACTAACCAAAAGAAAGAACCCAAACTATCAGTCAGAAGTGAACAGGGGAAAGAGTATATGAGAAGGTTTGGAGGGAAGAAAATGAAGAAATGTTGCAATTAAAATAAAATCTAAAAAATAACAAAAAAAAGTTAAAATACATCCTCAAGTAGCTCTAACACAGGGAAGTACTATTCAATTAAAATTTGCACATCAACACTCTAGTCTTTAGTCTTTTTATTTGGGGGAAGGGTTGTTTGTTTGCTTTTTGTTTTTCAAGACAGGGTTTCTCTGTGAAACAGTCCTGGCTGGCCTTGAACTCACAGAGATCCGCCCGCCTCAACTCCCAAGTGCTAGGATTAACAGTGTATGCCAACACCGCCTGGTTCTAGAGTTTAGATTTTGATGTATGTAATTTTCTCATTGGAAGAAACTATGTAAACTGAGTATGGTGACGCACAATGTCTTTAATCCCCATCCTCAGCAGTCAGTGATAGGCCTGGTCTACATAGTAGGTCAAGTATACATAGTGAACTCCAGGCCAGCCAGTGCTACATGAAAAATAAAATAAAATTTAATTCATACATGCATTTGTAACAAAACATGTTAAGAACAGAGGCAAAGCTGGATGGTGGTGGCGCACGCCTTTAATTCCAGCACCTGGGAGGCAGAGGCAGGCGGATCTCTGTGAGTTTGAGGCCAGCCAGGTATACAGAACAAGTTCCAGGACAGACTTCAAAGCTACACAGAGAAACCCTGTCTTGAAAAAAAATACAAACAAACAAAAAAGAATGGAAGTGATATGGTAGGCAAAGTAATTTTCAAACAAAAAATACTGAGAATCACATGGGTAAATTTATATAAACATCAGGCTCATGTAGTTCAGCAATTTAACTCACATGTCTAAGATGTGTGACTCTAAATTCAAATACAAAACAAATAAAATAAATGAAACACAAGAATAGGAATTAAGTTACACGTGTGAAGGTTTTGAATAGAATGTCTCAGGAACTACAGATGAGAAGAAAAGAACTATCTACTCAACATTAACATTCTGTAAGTAGTTCCATACAGAATATGAATTATCATATGAAACACTCTTGACTTTCAAATTGAAGGGGAAAGGAAAGATTTCAGGATTATAGTTAAAGTATATTCACTATTTGGAAACAGAAAGCCTCAGATGTAGCAAAGTCAAGTTGGCTAAACTGGCTGGGAAAGAGAAGTAGTGACAAAAAATATTAAGATTACACACCTGTAATCTCAGCACTCAGGAGACTGGGGGCAAGAAGACAGGCAAATGAACACAGACACCAAGTAAAAAACTGAAAAGAAGTCTCTGCCCTCATTACAATTTGTATCAAGACCCAGCATATTTACAAAGCAGTGTGCATGCCGGGGGCGTTGGTGGCACACGCCTTTAATCCCAACACTCAGGAGGCAGAGGCAGGTGCATCATTGTGAGTTCGAGGGCAGCCTGGTCTACAAGAGTTAGTTCCAAGACAGCCTCCAAAAAAGCCACAGAGAAACCCTATTTCAAAAAAAACAAAATAAAACGGAAAAAAAAAAAGCAGTGTGCAGACCAAAAAACTACCATCACTGGGTGAAATTCCATGAGGTCAACACAGGTTCAGTCTCTGCATATGCCTGGCAGACAAGCCTTGGGTTCTCTCCCACTGTTTCCTTCCAGGAGTGACCACTGTTTTGCCTCCTTTGGCTTGTTTGGAATGTTTATATACAGGAACTTCCGGGAGATACACTCTTGAGCTCAGCTTCTGGCCTTCAATGCAATCTGTGAAGTTCATCCGAGCTGCTGCACCTGGCAATGGACCACTTACCCCATTCTCTATCTTCTTAATACTGTAACCATTTAATACGGTTCCTTGTGTTATGGTAATACCAACCATAAAAGTATTTTATAGTTATTCATACCGATAATTTTGCTACTGTTACGAAGCATAATGTAAATACCTGATGGGCAGTATATCTGATGGTGCTCCATAGACTGAGAACCATTGATTTAAACAGTTCATCTATTCTCCTGTTAGACATCAGCCTGCTGCCAGCTTGAAGCTCTTAGCGATGCTGCTTTATAAACACACATGCAACCAAGTGGTGGCAGCACACACTTTTAATCCCAGCACTCGGGAGGCAGAAGTAGGCGGATCTCTGTGAGTTCAAGACCAGTCTGGTCTACAAGAGCTAGTTCCAGGACAGTCTCCAAAGCCACAGAGAAACCCTGTCTTGAAACTCCCCCCCAAAAAATAAACACACATGCAATTTCATTTTTAAATAATGTTAGATGATCTCTGCTTCATAAGGAAAGACTTTAGAACCTTTTTTTACTTCTATGAGCATGTGTGTGCCTGTGTGTGAGTGTATGCCACTTGAGTGCTGGGGCCAGAGGCCATCACATATCCTGGAACTAGCCCTGATGTGAATCTTCTGGAAGAACAAAAAGTATTCAGATCTCAGAGACATCTTCCTAGCCCCTTAAAACTTAAAACAAGGTAAGATTTTATTAAATCAAAAAACTGCATTTTACATTTCTACTTCCACTGCTAAAGTCAGACATGAATATAAAACTACTTTCACATACATGACTAAGCACTGTTCAACCCTAGGGGGTGGTGGGGGTAAGGAAAAAGGAAAAAAGATGGAGGCCAAACTGGGATGGTGAGGAAGAAGAAAAGAAACTATTCTTTTCCTAAATAAAAACAACACAACAGCAGAATCTGTTAACTTTGTTAATAGAAATCACTGGTATTTTCTTTCAAATCAGGTTTGACTGAGGTGGCCTTCGGTTGCAGGCATTTGAGAATCTATTAACTTTGTTAATAGAAATCACTGGCATTTTCAAATCAGGTTGCTCTACTCTGATCATAAGCACACTGATGCTATAAAATGTAACTCCCTTCCTACTTACTGATATTGAAATTCCACTGGGAAGGGAGTGTGAGGCGTGACTATTTCACATTTTTACACACACACACACACACGAGAGAGAGAGAGAGAGAGAGAGAGAGAGAGAGAGAGAGAGAGAGAGAGAGAGAGAGAGAGAGAAATGGCATAGGATAAAAAAAAGATTGCTTACATTTTACTCTAAAATGCTCATTTAATGAAGACTTTCATCCCTTTTCTCCCCTTTTTTGGGGTGTTTGGGATTAGTACATGTGATCAAGCATACTAGGCAAGCACTAACTGAACTATATTCTCAGCCCTTCAATTCTAATTCTTACACTAACATTCTGTAACCAATCAATACACCCAACTTCACCCAGAATGCTGCCATCCTGGGAACTCCATGCTCTAAAACACCAATTGCTCATCCTTCTACCAAAAGGTGGCCTTAGGTCTCTAGTAGCTTTTCTTTGTCCCTAAACCACCACTCCTTTTAAAACGCTCCCCTTCTCAGTTCTCTCTTCTTGATGAGGTCATTTCACAGAACACTGATTCTTCAGTGTCAGCCTTGGTCAATCACTCATCTTGCAATCTTTTTTTTTTTTTTTTTTTTTTTTTTTTGGTTTTTACGAGACAGGGTTTCTCTGTATTGTTTTGGAGGCTGTCGGTCCAGCCCGGCCTCGAACTCACAGAGATCCGCCTGCCTCTGCCTCCCGAGTGCTGGGATTAAAGGCGTGCGCCACCACTGCCCGGCTTTCATCTTGCAATCTTAAATCAATACAATTTGCTTTTCACATCCACAATTAAGCCACTCAGTGAAAAAGCACAGAGTCTGCATGTCAATCAATGCCCAGCTGGTAAAGTAAAATTTCCAAGGACTATAGTGCGTAAGAGAACTTTGGTCTCCCTCATTTGTTTTCCTATCTTAAATCATTTTATATCAACCCAAGCTGTAATTCAGAGCAGTGAGTGACAACCTTGCAAATGACACTATTCATGGAGGTGAGGTATACGATCAAGTAATAAACTGTCAGCTGGGCCTGGCAGCAGTCCTAGAAGCTACAAGAAAGGCAGGAGGATCATAAAGGTGAGGCCTACATAGGACACGCAGTGAGTTCAAGCCCAACCTAGACAATTTAGTAAGACCTCGTCTCAACATAAAAAATGAAACAAAGAACTAGGGGTAGGACTTAATGGTTCAGTGTTTGCCTAGCATGAGGAAAAGTCATGGATTCAATTCCCAGTATTACTACCACACACACAGAAAGCCCTAATTCTTTAACTAAAAAGTACTTGAAATGTGAACAAGTATTTATGCCTTCTGTGGTAGACAAAATGTCTACATAAGAATATAACCTTTACAGGGCTGGAGAGATGGCTCAGAGGTTAAGAGCACTCACTGACTGCTCTTCCAGAGGTCTGGAATTCAATTCCCAGCAACCACATGGTGGCTCACAACCATGTATAATTCAATCTGGTGCCCTATTCTGGTACGTAGACAAAAACACTGTATATATAATAAATTAATTTAAAAAAGAATACAAAATCTTACTGCCAGGGGAGGGGTGGTGCTGCTGCTGCTGCATGCCTATGATCCCAGCACTTGGGAGGCAGGGACAGGTGAATCTGTGAGCTCAAGGCCAGCCTGGTTTCAAAGCTACAGAGAAACCCTGTCTCAAAAACGAGAGAGAGAGACAGAGAGACAGAGAGAGAGAGACAGAGAGAGAGAGACAGAGAGAGAGAGAGAGAGAGAGAGAGACAGAGAGAGACAGAGAGAGAGACAGAGAGAGAGACAGAGAGAGAGACAGAAAGAGACAGAGACAGAGAGAGAAGAAAAAATACAACCCTAATGTCCCAATGTTCAAGATGAGTCTGCAGAAGATTAAGAACTTCTTGATCGCCAAACCTCTCCTTAATTCTCCATGCAGAACTATGGGGAGAACACACCCACTCACTTAGCAAATGCTGAGTCCCTGCTACAGACTAGATACAATTCTGGGTAGAGTCAACAACTTATCAACAACTCTCAGAACAGAGTCAACAAAACAGACAGAAGAGAACCTCAGCACACTCCTCAGCCTGCATGACCAAACAGAGGCATGCCGGCAGAAGTGCTGACCAGGACAGCAACATGCTTCTAGTGCAGAAAGTCTGATCTCCAGGTAGAACGTCTATAACTTCATTTTAATTTTAATTTAATGTTTGTTGATGCTGTTGTTGAGACAGGGTCAGACTATGTAGCCTGGTCTAGAACTTGCTATGAAGACCCGGCTTGCCTTGAATTCACAGAAATCCACCTGATTCTGCTTCCTAAGTGCATGACATACCATGCCAGGCTCAATTTATAAATATTTTAAGGAATCAAATAAATGGCAGCCATGAGTAGAAGCAGATGTCCAACATTTCTTTGTCAATGCACTATAGTATTTATAAAAAATTTTTCTCTACAAACAAAATCTCTGTCCTAGAAATTTAAGTATAAATTTAGTATATTTAAGTATAAATAGATTTTGCTTTTTGCTTAAATAAAATATTGCCATGTATTCTTTGGCTTTTAGAGGGTGAATTTGATCTATTTGTTCCAGCTAGGCTGATAAACTTCTGGTATCTGAAGATGCTGGAGAAGACAAAATGACACAACAGGTTGTGAACCTTCCTCCACAGCGGAGTGACTTACACTGGCATGGCTCCGAGGCGGTGCTCGTTCTCTTGGAAGACGTTCGTAGTCATATCGTCCCTCAGACCACATCTCATCTCTTATGGAAGCCACTAAAGAGAAAACAAAAACATTCTGGTCAGCAAGTAAGAGACAGCAAGAAGCAAATGTCTACCAAGACAGCAGGAAGAGAGCGAGTGAGGGGAGGAATGAAAGCAACAAGTCCTCCTACTTGAGATTCTAGAAAGCATGTGCGCAAGAATATGTGAAGTCCTACCTTCCTCCTGTTTTAACCTTCCTTCTGTTTTAAAGGGTATTTAAAAGTTCCATAAAACCTCCACCAACATGCTGGGTAAGAGCCATAAGCCACATAAAATGTCTTCATCGCCGCACAATTTGAAAAACTAGAAAAGATTCCATTTGGTAAGTAGTTTGGAAACCAGGCCAGCATGGCTACTCCAATAAAGGCTGGCCTCAAACTTACTATGCAGCCAAAGCCAACCTGGAGACAGCAGCCTTGTCTGAGCCTTCCAGAGCACTGGGATTACAGGTATATCCCAGCAAATTAATTGTTTGTCAATGGTCTTATGTACTCTAGGTTGGTCTGGAACTGGTTTTCGTTGTTTGTTTTTGTTTGGGTATTTGAGATGGGATTTTCTTGTGTAGCCCCAGTTGTTCTGGAACTCACCCTCTAGGCCAGACTGACCTAAAACCCAGAGGTCTGTCTGCCTCTGCCTCTTGAGTACTGGGATTACAGTTGTGTGCCACTGATGGTTGTGGTGGTGCAGTACTAGAATTCAGCATTTGGGGTGCCTTGTCAGGAGGCTCAGCAGTTTAAGGCCAGAAACTAAACCAGAAGGCTGGTGAGATGGCCTCTCAATAAAGGTACTTGTCATCAGGCTGAGGCCCTGGATTCAATCTCTGGTACCCCCCATGATGGAGAGAATTGATTCCTGAAAATTGTCCTCTGACATCCACACACATTCTGGGGGATGCACGTACATGCCTACTTGCCTCATGCATGATGTGCACATATACAAAAAAATTAATATAAAATTAAAAAAATTAAAAAAACCCACACTGGAAAATGCCTCCATAAGATCCAACTACAGGGCATTTTCTTAGTGATTGAGGGCCAGGGCCCAGCCCACCGTGGGTGGTGCCATCCCTGGGCTGGTGGTCCTGGGTTCTGTAAGAAAGCAGGCTGAGCAAACCATGATGAGCAAGCCAGTAAGCAGCATCCCTCCACGGCCTCTGCTTCAGCTCCTGTCTCCTGTTTCCTTTCCAGTTCCTGTCCTGACTTCCTTCAGTGACATGGAAGTGTAAACCAAATAAACCCTTTCCTCCTCAATTTTGCTTTTGGTCATGCTTTTCATCACAGCAACCTATATAACCCTAACTAAGACAAGTGTGAGTATGGGCTATATTCACATAAAACTCAAAGCCTAGCAGAGTGCTCTCCTACAAAGACTGGGCCATGTAGGGAAAAGGGGCCAGCCAAAGAAACACAGCCTGAGCAGAGCCCAAGAAACACACTTTGGCCCTGCAACCAGAACCAAAGAAATGTACCCTGACCCTGAAACCAGTGCCAAAGAAACACACTTTGTCCCTGGAATCAGAACCAGTGAAAGAAATACACTGTAGCCCTAAAACTAAAGCCAAAAGGCTAAAGAGGACCAGAGAAAGAAACACACTTTGGCGCTGAAACCAGAGCCAACTCTGACCCTAACCCTGTGCAGAAAACTAACCAATCCTCGAGCAGGAGCTCTAGCCAATCTGAGCTCAGCACTGAAATCTGACCAATCCCCACCCTGAAAGCCCTATATAAACCCTGTCTCTGTTCAGCTTGTGGCAGTTTCTACTACCCTGCTGTCCTCTGGCAGAGGACAGCCACTCTCCTGGATACTTCACTCCCAATAAACCCCTTTGATAAGCTTTGGGTGAAGATCTTTTGAGGCGGAGCAGAGACAACCATGGGCAGAGCAGAGCGGACTGGGCTGGACTGTAACACTTCTGCTATGGAAACCTTCCCCTGGCTGAGCAGAGTTATTACAGTCGGCTCTCCACTTTCCCGGGAGCAGGGCTGAACTGTAGGAACTTCGTCCTGGAAACCGAGCAAAACTGCTACACTGGGCAAACATCCCCAGCTGGAAGACCCTCTCCAGCTGGAGCAGAGCCAATACACAGAGGAAGCCTTCACTTGAGGCAGGGCTGTAAGCTGCTATGCTTACTGAAGCCTGTGGTAGTCCTTGGCTCCCAAGCTCCATGATACCTTTCCATCTGAGCTGTGTAACACTCAAGACTCCTGAGTGCCAGTATACCTGTCCCACTCGATCCGTCTGAAATGCCTACAGGCAGCACAGACATTCCAGGAAATGGTACACTAACCCGATTGCAGAATGGAAACCATCATTTTCAGGTTGTTCCTGATCCAGTTTGGAATTTTCTGCCTATCAGTTGACGATACATACCTAAGATATTAGAATTACTCTAGGAGTAAAAAAAAAAAACAGTTAACTATAAAAGAAGGATCTCTAATCAAGCTGGATTATGGGATTAGGCTGTTTTGTTTTTGTGGGTTTTTTTTTCCACTTTCATACATCTCTTGTTCAAACTGAATCTTGAATTAAATTATCACAAAAAGGAACAGAAAAAATAGCAGGGAAGAAAGGATGATAAAAAGCACTATAGAAAATATGCTAAAATTGCTTTCAATTCAAATAATACCCTACAATTTTCAAAGTCATTTAGAAGAATTCTTAAGTACAGTCATCTTTTGATTAATGGCATGTGTTACTTATGACATTATCCAGGTTTTGGCAATCAATCCATCCCACAACCAACAAACTACACTGACTCATGACACTAAAGAATCCCCTCCCATTACTGGAGTCTCAAAAGTACTCTAGGGCCTAAAGAGATAGCTCAATGGCTGAAAGCTCTTTTCAGTGAAGCAGGAGTTTGGACCCCACCACCCACACAAAAGCCCAATATGACTCACTCACACAAGAAGCACCAGTAACTGAGAGGATAGACAAAAAGATCACTGGATGACCTCCAGACTCAGTAGGGGACCTATCTTAAAGTAACAAGCTGAAGTGTTGCAGAAAACACACTCCTCTGGCCCACACGTTTGAATACAACACACAGGAGTTTTGTTGCTTTTTGTTTTTTTTGGGGGGGGGGATTTCGAGACAGGGTTTCTCTGTATTGTTTTGAAGGCTGTCCTGAAACTCGCTTTATAGACCAGGCTGGCCTTGAACTCACAGAGATCTGCCTGCCTCTGCCTCACAAGTGCTGGGATTAAAGGCGTATACCACCAATGCCCGGGTTTCATTTTCATTTTTTTTTAAAGATTTTTTTATTCATTATATATACAGTGTTCTGTCTGCATATATCCCTGCATGCCAGAAGAGGGCACCAGATCTCATTATAGATGGTTATGAGTCATCATGCGGTTGCTAGGAATTGAACTCAGGACCTCTGAAAGACCAGATAGTGTTCTTAACCACTGAGCCATCTCTCTAGCCCTTGTTTTAATTTTTAAAAGCACTCCAGAATAATACTCTGTATCACAATAAAGCAGACAACAGGAAAGTGCAATATTCCTTTAAAAGTGTGCCAAAAAACTGATTCCAAAATATAAGAACGCCATTTTTATGCAAAAAAAAAAAATACAAGGGCTAAGTAATACTGTCTGTGGGTCAAGTACAGAAGAAAATAAGCCCTTCCTAAAAGCACTCGGCTGAGGGATCCCAAGCTCTATGTAACTTCCACAGAGAATTGGCACTGTGAATGAAATTTAAAAGAATTTGAGAAAACAAACTCACAGTTAATGACCTTTTATCCAACCTGTACTCTGAAAATTTGAAAATTTAAAGGAAATGGACAAGTTTCTGGATAGATACCAAAATTAAATCAAGAAGAGATGAGCAGTTTAAATAGACCTATAACCCAAATGAAATAGAAGCAGTCATCAAAAGTCTCCCAAACAAAAAAAGCCCAGAACCAAATGGTTTCACTGCCAAATTCTACCAGAAATTCAAATAAGAGTTAATACCAATACTCCTCAAAGTGTTTCACACAATACAAGCAGAAGGGTCATTGCCAAACTCTTTTTAGGAGGCTACAATTACCTGTTACCCAAACCACACAGAGACACAACTAAGAAAGAACTACAGATCAAACTCCCTCATGAACACTGATGCAAAAATACTCAATAAAAAAACTAGCAAATCAAAGCAGAAGCAGATACCCACAGAAAAACAGTGAACTGAATTCCTGGAACCCAGTTGCAGAGAGGGAGGAGTGATGAGCAAAGGGGTCAAGACCAGAATGGGGAAACTCACAGAAACAGCTGACCTGAACAAGGGGAGCTCATGGACCCCAGACTGATGGCTGAGAGGCCAGCATGGAACGGATCCAGACGCCCTAAATTTGGGTGTCAGTGAGGAGGCCTTGGCAATCTATTGGGCCTCGGGTAGTAATGATGATAGTCAATGCAATAGGAAATACAATATATTTATTTACCAGAGAGAGAGAGAATCACACAAGCTGGGAGTCAGAAGTGTGGCCGGCTTCCAAAAGAGAAGGTCCTTTAGCCGGGCGTTGGTGGCGCACGCCTTTAATCCCAGCACTCGGGAGGCAGAGGCAGGTGGATCTCTGTGAGTTCGAGGCCAGCCTGGTCTACAAAGTGAGTTCCAGGACAGCCTCCAAAGCTACAGAGAAACCCTGTCTCAAAAAACCAAAAAAAAAAAAAAAAAAAAGAAGGTCCTTTTTTCTTTTGCTTCCTTTTATCTCTGCCTGTGTTAATTTACTTGTCCCTGCCCTCATGGGCAGATAACTTTGTGGGGTTCACTCCTACAAGGTAGTATATCAGTATTTACCCCTGGCAAAGAAATGGACTTTGGGAACCCATTCCACATGGAGAGATGCTCTCTCAGCCTGGACACAAGGGGGAGGGCCTAGGCCCTTTCCAGGATGAAATGACAGTTTCTGGAGATCCCCCAGGGAGGGTGTGGGAGCAAAGTGGGGATTGGGTGGAAGGTTTGGGGGGCAAAGGGGAATGGGGTAGGAGGGGAGGGAGAGGGAGCTGGGATTGACATGTGAAACA